CATGGACTCATTTTAACTACTTAGGACTAGAATGGTTGTAAATTCCTTTGATTTTAAAATGGGTTAATCTTTTTATAGTAAATCCACAAACCAGTAATGTGGTCATTTATTATCATTATCAATCTGTTCTGTACATAATCATGTGTGCTAGACTTTGACACAACTGCAGTGTGTTGGATGGTTTACAGCAGCGTCACTACAAACATGTGACTCCCTCCTCGTGCGGTGGTGGCATGTCGGCTACTACATCACTGGGACAGTAAGAATTTTTCAGCTCCATTATCATCTTATTTTCCCCACAGTGGCTCTATTTTATTTTGTTTTTATTTTTATTTTGTAAATTTTTGTGAGTACATAGTAGGTATATATATTTGTGGGTTACATGAGATATTTTGATGCAGGCATTCAGTGGGGAATAATCAATAATCACATCAGGGTAAATGGGGTATCCATCCCCTCAAGCATGTATCCTTTGTATTATAATCTGTTTACACTCTTTCAGTTATTTTAAAATGTGCAAGTATTTTTGACTGTAGTCATCTTGTTGCTCTAGCAAATACTGTCTTATTCATTCTTTCTATTTTTCGGTACCTATTAACTACCCCTGCTTCCCTCAATAGCTCCCACTAACCTTCCCTGCCTATGACTCTAGTCTCTGTCTCCATGAGTTTAATTTAATATGGATAAATTTTGGATATGCATTTGGAAAGAAGAAACTACATGTCGTAAAAGTATATTTCAGTTACACTTTAAACCTATCATAGGATCTGAAATTTAGTGGATATTCAGATACTTAAATATTGATAGCATTTTAAGCACATTATTTACAGGTGTATATAAAGTATTACTGGTGTTTATGTGGGTTATTAAAAGCTTCACAGAGGTTAGATTTGCTGTGTAATTAATTCTGGGAAGGGAGGGATTTTATTCCAAGGGAGCAAGTGCTGGGAGCTTCTGCAAGTCAGTAGAGGGACCTTACAGTGGAGGGACGAGATTCCCGGTGAGGTACAGCAGAGGTCAACAGAGATGGAGGAGCCAGTTGGTAAAGCCTGGCAGTTAACTTAGGGTCTGTTTTGAGGAACTTACAGTTTTTGATACAAATATGATTATCTTCTAAATAATTATCATAGAATGGAATTTTTTGGGGGGATAAACACAGTCCTTAGTTTTTTCAACTCATTCATTTGGAATTAGGGAAATTATGATGTTATATTTTCTTTACACAGGCAGAAATTAATGACTGGTAGTGGGGTTGGTGGGCAGGTTATATGTTTAAGAAGCATTGGCTTAAGAATAGGTAGTTATGGCTGGGCGTGGTGGTGGCTTACACCTGTAATTGCAGGACTTTGGGAGGCCAAGGCGGTGGATCACCTGAGGTTAGGAGTTCAAGACAAGCCTGGCCAACAAAGCGAAACCCTGTCTCTACTAAAATGCAAAACAAAATTAGCCAACCGTAGTGGGGGGCGCTTGTAATCCCAGCTACTCAGGAGACTGAGGCAGGAGAATCACCTAAACCTAGGAGGCGCAGGTTGCAGTGAGCCGAAATTGCGCCACTGCACTCCAGCCTGGGCAACAAGAGTGAAACTCCGCCTCAAACAGCAACCAAAAAAAAAAAAAAAAAAAGGAATATGTAGTTATTTGATATACATTTGCATCTTTTTCAGAGGAGCCTATAGAACTTGTTCATGGGAGCAAGTGAGATGAATGCTTTTCCTCTATGAGGAAAAACCCACTTAATGCTATTATGTTTCTGAACAATGATGGAAGGGAACACTTATCACTAGAAAGATTTACTGGAAATATTTGATTGAAATAGTTTAGAGAGCAGAAAGTACTGTTGTTACCTTACTTGGTGATACCATTTGGCTGTGTCCCCATCCAAATCTCATCTTCACTTATAGTTCCCATAATCCCCATGTGTCATGGGAGGGACCCAGTGGGAAGTAATTGAATTATAGGGGCGGTTACCCCCATGCTGTTCTTGTGATGGTGGGTGAGTTCTCATGAGATCTGATGGTTTTATAAGGGGCTTTTCTCCCTTTGCTCGGCACTTCTCTTTGCTGTCACCATGTGAAAAAGGACGTGTTTGCTTTCCCTTCGCCATTATTGATTGTAAGTTTTCTGAGACCTCCCCAGTTATGCTGACCTGTGAGGCAATTAAACCTCTTTCCTTTATAAATTACCCAGTTTAGGGTCTGTCTTTATTAGCAGTGTGAGAACGGACTAATATACTTGGTAATAGTCACAATTAACTAGTTCATTAAAAAACAAAAAGCTGATAATACATGACTTACTGAATGTGCACTTGATAGTATATTGAATAGGTAGTTTTAAGAAAAAAATATGTCATCAGATTTAAATACTAGCATTTACATCGAAATATCTTTGCTGCTGTATTTAGAGCTTCCTTCTCTATCAAGTGCAGCTCTGAGATTATTAAATGTTGCGTGTCCATTTCGTAAACACTTTGTGTCGTTGATTGCTCTGTAGGATTATTGAGGCCAGGTGACAGTTGTGTGTTTTGTATGTGCACAGTGACTCTTAAAATTGAGAGATTTTTTCTATTGTTACCGGACTCTCTCAAATATGATATTACTATATTACTAGGATCAGTTGTCAGCTCAGTTAACAAAGTGTTGGCCAGAAATCAAATACTTAATGTAAGTGTGGGTTTTTAGAATGTGGCAGCAAAGATAATTCGTGCTGGACCTTCACTGGTGGACAGGTCTGTGAAAGTGGGTCGTTTTCCTCCTGTATCTTCTCTGTCCAGTGCCCTACATGTTCTTTGGCAAAGAGGACAGCAAATCAGTTATTCAGGATGCTAGGACTTGATAACATTATGATCATTTTCAAAATTTAGATATGTGTACTTTGAGCAGATACATAAGGCAGATGGTCATACTGTTTTGTTACTGTACTCTGTTTAGCTTTCTAATACTTTGTTCATAGTGTAATATTAACATTTTGAGAACTTTTTATGCTGTATTTTATCATAAACTTTTTTCCTTAAACAGGTAATTGAAGATAATTTCCATAGAAATGAATCATAATCACTATATGCCTGAAAATTAAAGACTCTTAAATATATTCTCTCTCTTTACCGTGTTACAGAATAATAAATCTTTCAGAAATGTTAGATCTTAATTACAGTCAAAAAGGATATGTTTTATCTTCAAAATGTTTTAAAATGGTTTACTGTATTATGTGTTATGACTATAGTGTTTCTTTTTCTCTCCTTTTAAAATGTGTTGATTTCAGAGAATGTGAAAAAATACAAGGAAAGAAGGGTGGATTGGATAGGTAGGGGAGAGTGAAATTGGATGATGAAGTCGGAGCTCTGGGTCCGTGGGGCGTCTCTACTGCCAAATGCTTTGCTATGAAAAGCATAGCAGCCGGGGTGGAGGCCTGCAGCCTGAGTGACCGTGCTCACAGGAATTAAAGTGGACAGTGTTTTGTGAATCTGTTTTCTGGTTGTGTGTAGGCATACACTTAGTGGTTTTAAAGCTATGTTAAGATTTGTTTCACACATAATTCTAAAGAGCATTGCTATTTTATAATATAAATAAAAATAGCTTCAGCCCTTATTGGCTTATATAATTGAGGCATGTAGAAAAAAATACAACATAATGCATATAAAAGTTTTGATATCTCCAAAGCAGATCTTTAGGAACAGTGTGATACTACTGAAATACAGCTGCTTTAAGAGGTGTTTGGGAAATAAGATCTTTTAATAAGATCTTATTGAAGATCTTTAAATCTTTAAAGTCAGTGTAACGAGTGTGATGTTAGTTTTTTTTTTTTTTTTTTGAGACGAAGTCTCGCTCTGTCACCCAGGCTGGAGTGCAGTGGCCCGCTCTCTGCTCACTGCAAGCTCCGCCTCCCGGGTTCGCGCAATTCTCCTGCCTCAGCCTCCCGAGCAGCTGGGACTACAGGCGCCCGCCACCTCGCCCGGCTTATTTTTTTGTATTTTTAGTAGAGACGGGGTTTCACCATGTTAGCCAGGATGGTCTCGATCTCCTGACCTCGTGATCCGCCCGTCTCGGCCTCCCAAAGTGCTGGGATTACAGGCTTGAGCCACCGCGCCCGGCCGTGATGTTAGTTTTTGATAGCTGTCATCATAAACCGAATGTAAAAGGAAGGAACATTTTCCCTTGTTAGGACAGTAATTTCAAAAATGTAAAAATTAACACACAAGGCCATTGCTAGTCTTAAGAGAGTGAGATGGAGAGAGTGAGGAAGTGAGGGAAGGAGGTTGGGGGAGGCCCGGGGGAGAAAGAGAGGCAGATACAGAGAGAAGGGGAGGAAGGGAGAGAATGAATTTGCCTGTTTTGTTACCTAAGTATGTCTCAAATTATGCATGCAACATTCATCTACTCTACATCATATTATACATGATATTTTATAGATATTTAAGTATATAGGAAACTTTATCAATGGCTATTCTACATTAGATATTTTGTGGATAATAATTTATTCACATAGATAAATCACTTTTAGTAATAAAGCTTTAGATATAACTTTTTCAGTCCTCTCTTGTGTTGGTAAAGCTATTAATAGAGGCTGATTTTATATATAATTTGCTTTTATTTCTTTTTTGGTCAGTTATGTGCTAATTAATGCCATTTATGATATTAACTTAAGGATTTTTACATCTCTGTGTTAAGTTTTAATTATGCTCAAATCATTTAGTAATATTTCTGATCATTGTGGACTTGGAACTGAAACAATGACAAAACATGGTAATAACCTGAGTGTTGTCCCCTTTTAAATTACTATGAAGAAATTCTCCCTTTGTGTTTTTATTGGGAGATAAAAAGTTGTGTTTGGAAGTTTACTAAGAGAAGTTAGTTATTAGTGACTGTCTGAAAGTATAAGTACAGGGAAATTTCTGAAGTATATTTTTCTGCATCTTATTTCTAAAGTAATTATTTTTTAGTTGAAAGTTGAACTTGAGTGTGCTATTGTTTCCTTGAATTGACTGTACTTCTTCTTTTTTTAAGGTAAAGTGCAAGTTAAGAGTTCAGACATACAAGTTGGAGACCTCATCATAGTGGAAAAGGTTGATGAATTTTTAATATATTTTAGACCTATATATACTGGTTATTAATGTTTAGCCTGATTGCAAGTAACTTCTGAATTTGAAAGAAATTGTTTGAGACATATATTTTGAATCATAATATCCTTGTGTAAGATTTGTTGTATGTGAAGAAAAATCTAGATTTTTGTATATTCTGTTTTGCTAAATTTCATTGTGTGCAAGCAGTCATATTTTTTTCTGAAATAAGATGGTTAACTGCTTAATGTTGCATTATCAAGATTATTTTATGTCATCACAGAATTGTATTTGAACCTATTTATAGTACTATGCTTCAGTTTGCAGAACTTCCTCCTACAGAGATAATCATTCCTCAATATGCATGAGAGAGTAGTTCCAGGACTCTGCCAAGGATACCAAAATCCACTGATGCTCAAATTTCTTGTATAAAATTGCACAGTCTATGCATTAATAAATCCTCTGTATACTTTAAATCAGTGGCCCCCAACCTTTTCAGCACCAGGAACCAGTTTTGTGGAAGACAATTTTTCCATGGACCAAGGTTCAGTGGGCTTGTTTTTGGGATGAAACTGTTCCACCTCAGATCATCAGGCGTTAGATTCTCATAAGAAGTGTGCAGCCTAGGTCCCTTTCGTGCGCAGTTCACAGTAGGGTTCGTGCTCCCGTGAGAATCTAATGCTGCTGCTGATCTCACAGGAGGTGGAGCTCAGGAGGTAATGCTCGTTTGCCTCCACTCCCCTCCTGCTGTGCAGTGCCATTCTTAAAAGGCCCGGGGTTAGGGACCTCTGCTTTAAATCATCTCTAGGTGATTTATAGTACTTAATATGATAGAAATGCTATCTAAATAGTTATACAGTATTTTTTTATTTTTGTTTTCTTATTTTTTATTTTTATTTTTTTCCTGAATATTTTCTCTCAGTGCTTGGTTGAATCCCCATCTGTGGAACCCGTGGATACAGAGGGCCAGCTGTAGTTATATTACACATAATTATTGGATATAATTCATATGGTTAAAAAATTTAAGAGGGAAAAGTGAATAGAAGTAAAAGCATTACAAAAGAAAGTTTTGATCAATGTAGGAAGAAGCTGTAAGAAAAACATTAGGTCCGATGTGGAGATCGTCAGGCTGCTGGTGGTGTGGAGAGTGACTGAAGGTGCAGGCTGCATGTGGGGGAATGCTGCTGCTGATCTCACAGGAGGTGGAGCTCAGGAGGTAATGCTCTGCTATGCTCCACTCCTCCTGCTGTGCAGTGCCATTCTAAAGGTCAAAGTTAGGGAACCTCTGCTTTAAATCACCTCTAGGCATTTATAGTATACCTAATATGATAGAAATGCTATCTCAAATAGTTAATGTAAGGCATTTTTATTGTTTTCTTATTTTTATTTTTATTTTTTTCCTGAATATTTTCCCTCAGTGCTTGGTTGAATCCCCATCTGTGGAACCCGGATACAGAGGGGCCAGCTGTAGTTATATTACAATTATTGATATAATCGTGGCATGGTTAAAAATTTAAGAGGGAAAAGTGAATAGAAGTAAAAGCATTACAAAAGAAAGTTTTGATCAATGTAGGAAGAAGCTGTAAGAAAAACATTAGGTCCGATGTGTGGAGATCGGGCTAGCTGCTGGTGGTGTGGAGAGTGACTGGGGCTGGGTGCAGGCTGTATGTGGGGGGAGCTGGTGGTGTGGAGAGGACTGGAAGGTGCAGGTGCATGTGGGGGAGCTGGTGGTGTGGAGAGTGACTGAAGGTGCAGGCTGCACGTGGGGGAGCTGGTGGTGTCGAGAGTGACTGAAGGTGCAGGCTGCATGTGGGGGGAGTGCATTCAGAGTGCTCTTATCTGCCTCGTCCCCGACCACATGAGTGCTGTGCGCAGGACACCTGTGTCTGTGTTAAGGGAGTTCATTCTCAAGTGTTCTCATCTGCCTGCTTCCATGACTGTGTGAGTAAAAAGAGCTCAGGTCACACACAGGAAGGGAGAAATTGGAAACCCAGAAACAAATATCAGAGGAAACCAACTGAAAATAAATAATAAAATGCAGACGTACATTCTAATGGTCTAAATACAGCAATCAAGACACAGAATAGATAAAAAACACACCAAAAACCCAAGATGCATCTCTATGTTGTTTACACAAAAGTCTCTTCAAATACGGTGACATAGATAGGATGAAAGTAAAAGGATAGAAAAATATATACAACGTAAAATAAAAGTAGTAGGAACTATATTAATGTCCAAGAAAATGTACTTCAGAGTGAAGAAAATTACTACATACAAAAAGAGATATTATATAACAATAATAGGATTAATCCATCAGGAAGATACAATGATCCTAAGGTGGTACTCACCAAACACCATATCCATAAAATTGGTGAATCAACAACTGTCAGAGCTGAAAAAAGTAGACAAGTCCAGTTACAAGTGGATACTTCAGCACCACCCTTCAGGCGTTGGATAGAAGTAGTGGACAGACGCTCTGCAGGGATGTGGAAGATTTGCATAGGACCAACCAGCAGGAGTTGTCTAGCATGCATAGACCACTGTACCTATCAGTAGGAGAGAACACATTTATTTCAAGTGTCTATAGAACATTCACCAAGATAAGACATATTCTGTACCATAAACCTCAACAAAATGAAAAGAATTGAAATCACACAGAGTATGTTCTCTCACTATAATAGAATTCTTAAAAATCAATAACAAAGGCAACAGGAAAACTCTAAAACGTGGAAAGTAAACAGCACACTTTGAATTAATTTATAGGATAGATAGTAAGTCTCAAGGAAACAATACATATAGCTGAATAAAAATGAAAATTCTGCATTCTGGAATAAGTGGAATGCATGTAAGGGCAGTGCTGGGATTAACTGTAGCATGAAACTCCTATGTGGAAACAAGCAGAGGTCTTGGGTCAGTAGTCTAAATCCCTACTGTAAGAAACTAGGAGAAGACAGCAAAGTTAAACCAAGGCAAGCAGAAGGAAGGCAATAATAAAGATACAAGTAGAAGTCAGTAAAATGGAAACTAGGAAGACAAGATAGAAAATCAATGAATACAAAAGCTGGTTCTTCTAAATAAGTTAATAAAATTGATAAACCTCTAGCAAGCAAGACTGATCAAAATAAAAAGAGTAATGTCACAAATCACCAGTATCAGTAATGAAATAGAGGCTTTCACTATAGATCCTGCAGACATTAAAAAGACAGTTACGAAATACTACAAACACCTTGATGCTCATAAATAGAAGAAATGGACAAATTCTTCTGAAACCATAAAGTATAAGAATTCAGTCAAAATGAAATAGTATGAATAGTCCTGTAGCCGGTAAAGAAGCTGAATTAGTAATTTAAAGCTCTAGGAAGGAAATATCTGGGTCCAGGAGAATTCCTTAAAACCATTAAAGAAGACTTAGCATCAACTTCACACAGTTTTCAGAAAATAATTGAGAATGCTACACTACCCAACTCATTTTATGAGGTCAGGAATGTCTTTATCTCAACACCAGAAAAAAAACAGTACAATAAAAGAAAACTACAGCCCACTTGATAATCAGCAATATATAAAGAAGAGTAATACATCACATCCCAGTACAGGTTGTTCCAGGTATGTAAATGTGGTTCAGCATTCTAAAATCCAGCAATGTAATTTGCCCTATCAACAGAATAAGGAAAAATCACTCAATCAGTTGTTGCAGGAAGATCATTTGACTTAACCCAACACTCATGCATGATAAAAACTTTCAGCAGGTTGGATTAGAGGGGGAATAGCCATATCTTGTTTAAAAAGAATCTACAAAAACACTTGTAGTCAACATCATACTTACTGGTGTAGGACTGCATGCCGCCTCTCTGAGACTGGGGACAAGACAAGGATGTTTGCCGTTACTACTCTTATTCAATGGCACTTCTAGTCTGTAAGGCAAGAAAATAAAAGATTAGACAAGAAATAAAAATGTCTCAATTTGCAGATGATATAACTATGTATACATGTACATAGATACATATACATATATGTTGAAAATCCCAACGGATCTGTAGAAAATCTGGAACTAGTGAGTCCAACACGGTGTCAGGTTATAAGATCGATGCACAAATATGAACCTCATTTTTATATAATAGCAATGAACATGTGGGCACAGAAATTTAAAATGCAGTACTCTTACAGTCATTCTATGAAGATGAAATCTATGCTGAAATTTACAATGTATTGATAAAAGTAATTTAAGGAAACATAAGTAAATAGACGCGTCTGTTTTCGATTGGAACATTCTGCATTTCAGTTTTCCCAAAATTGTTCTGTATGCTTAATACCATTCCTATAAAAATCTCAGCAGGGTTTTTTTTTTCTTTTTATTTTTAAAGACATAGATAATCTTATTCTAAAATTAATTTGGAAAGGCACAGGTTGTAGAATAGCTAAACCAACTTTGACAAGGCAAATAAAGTGGGAGGAATCATCCTTCTTGATGTTAAGGCATATTACATGGTTACATTAGTCAACATAGTGTGGAAGAAGGATAGAAACAAAAGTTAACAAAACATTATAGGGAAACCAGAATTAGACAAAGGTGTGAAAATGATTAAGTGGAGAAAAGGTAGCCTTCTCAAATGGAACTGGGCATCCAGAGGCTAAAAAAAAAGGTCATGGACTCAATGTAAAATGTGAAACTGCAAAACTTTTAGAAAAAAAAAATATTTAGAATCTGGGGATTGGAAAATATTTCTTAGAATTGACACCACAAGGACAATGTGTAAAAGGAAAACTTGATAAATTGCATATCATTAAAATTAAAACTGTGTGCCTTGTTGAAAACCATGTGAATACAATGAAAATCCACAGATGGAGAAAATATTTGTAAACCATATATTTGACAAAGATTTCTATCTAGAATATATAAAAACTCCTAAAACTTAACAGTAAAAAAAAAAAAAATTGAAATTAGAAAATGAGCAAAAGATTTCAAGAGACGTTTTGACAAAGATTTACAGATAGAAAATAAACACATGGGCCAGGCACGGTGACTCACGCTTGTAATCCCAGCACTTTGGGGAGGCCGAAGGGGGCGGATCACGAGGTCAAGAGATCGAGACCATCTTTGCCAACATGGTGAAACCCTATCTCTACTGAAAATACAAAAAAATAGTTGGATGTGGTGGTGGGCGCCTATGGTCCCAGCTGCTTGGGAGGCTGAGGCAGGAGAATCGCTAGAACCCGGGAGGTGGAGGTTGCAGTGAACCGAGATTGCGCCACTGCACTCCAGCCTGGTGACAGAGTGAGACTCTATGTCAAAAAAAATAAAAAAATAAAAATAAACACATGAACAGGAATTCAACATCATTAGTCATCAGGAAATGCAAATTAAAACACAATGAAATATCAGTATGCATCTATCAGAACAGCTAAAAGGAAAAAATGGTGACCAGTACCAAATGTTGGAAACAATGTGAAGAATCGGATCACTTATATATTGCTTGTGAAAATACAAACAATACAGTTATTCTGGAAAATCACTGGATAGTTTCTTTAAAAAAACTGTGTAGCCATCATACTACCCAACAGTTGCACTCCTGGATCTTTATCAGAGAAATGTTAAATTATGTTGATACAAAAAACCTGTGCAGGAATGTCTATATCTACATTATTCACAGTAGCTCAATTCCGGAAAGTCCATATATCCCAGGTGGGTGACTGGTCAGAGAAGCAGCCGTGCATTCATGCTGTGGCATGCAGTGTTAGGAGAACACAGGACTCCTTGCTCTTGTGGTGCCCCTAGTCTTGAGGGGAAGGAAAAAGAAACAAAAGTGTCCAATAATTGTTTGAAATTATCTGGTTTGTTTATGAGTGCTCCATAGAAAATAAGACAGAATAAGGACATAAAGAGAATGAATATGAAATTTAAAAAAAAATACTTTTAAGGGCTGGGCATGATGACTCATACCTGTAATCCCAGCACTTCGGGAGGCCAAGGCGAGAGGATCACATAAAGCTAGGAATTTGAGACCAGCCTGGACAACATAGACCAAAGTTTAAAGAATTAGCCAGGCACAGTGGCACATATCTGCTGTCCTAGCTACTTGGGAGACTTAGTTGGGCCTGGGAATTCAAGGCTGCAATGAGCCGTGATCATTGTTGAAACATATTAGAGAGACCGAAGTAAATGTAAAGACATTTCATGCCCATGGTTAGAAGTATATGTTGTTCAAAAGGTGGTGTTCCCTAAATTGATCTATAGATTCAGTATTAATCCCTCTCAAAATCCCAGTTGATGTCTTTGCAGAAATTGACAAGGTGATTCTGAAATTTATATGGACATTGAAGGGACCCAGAATGGCCAAAACGATTTTGAAAAAGATGGACAAACTTTGAATATTTGTACTTCACTGTTTCAAAACTTAATACAGATTTACAGTAATCAGCATTTACAGGAGCTAGCATTACATTGAGAAACCAGAAATAAACTCTGAAATGTATGGTTAATTGATTTTTGGCAAGAGTGCCTAGAAAATTTACCAAGGTGGGAGTGTGTTAGGACAGGGGCTTTTTTGGCGCCGTGTTCTTTATGAGATACATCCATGTTGTTGTGTGTAGCTGTTACCCACCCATTTTGGGGTTGTATAGTATGGTTTTTATCTGTTTTCCTGTCGATGAGTTTTCAGGTTACATGTAAGTTTTGCCTATCATGAAGGATACTTTTGTGTCATGTTTGACTGTATTTCTTGGTGCACACGTCCACACGTTGCTGCTGCAGGTGTGCCTAGGAGTGGAGCTGCTGTGTTTTGGGTTATGCAGTTCTGCTGTGGTAGACTCTGCACGTGGTTTTGCAAAGTGGTGTACCAAATTCTGCTCCAGTCAGCAGTGCCTTGGCACGTTTGCCAGCATGTGCATTTTCAGCCTTTTAAAGTTAGCGTTTCTGATATGTATGTAGAAGTGTTTTTGTTTTTGTTTTTTAAATTAAGTTCTGGGGTACATGTGCAGAACATGCAGGTTTGTTACATAGGTATACACGTGTCATGGTGGTTTGCTGCACCCATCAACCCGTCGTCTACATTAGGTATTTCTCCTGATGCTATCCCTCTCGTAGACCCAGAGTGAGCAGGCAACCTACAGAATGGGAGAAAATTTTTGCAATCTATGCATCTGACAGAGGGCCAATATCCAAAATCTACGAAGAATTTAAACAAATTTACAAGAAAAAAAAACCCCATCAAAAAGTGGGCAAAGGATATGAACAGACACTTCTCAAAAGAAGACATTTATGCAGCCAACAAACATGAAAAAAAACCTCATCATCACTGGTCATTAGAGAAAAGCAAATCAGAATCACAATTGAGATACCGTCTCACGCCAGTTAGAATAGTGATCATTAAAGTCAGGAAACAACAGATGCTGGAGAGGATGTGGAGAAATAGGAACACTTTTACACCGTTGGTGTGGGAGTGTAAATCAGTAGAAGTGGTTTTAATGCATATTTCTATGAAGTCTAATAAGATTCAGTACTTTTTCATATGATTTTGTGTGTCTGTCATGTGACAAGCCTGCTAAAATCCCTCGGAATTTCTCTTCTGAGTTATTCTTATCAGTTTGTGGACTTTTGTGTGTTCTGGTTTGGAGTCTTTCGTTAGTTATATATGCGTTGCAGATATCTTCTTCTTCTTTCCTTGCAGGCTGTATTGAACAGAAATTCTTAAATTTAATGAAGTCTGTTATTAATCTTTTTATGTAAGGTTAGTTTTTTAGACAATTTTTGTTGATGGTCTTTATAAGCATCCTTACCTCTCAAAAAGTCATGAAAATATTCTTGTCATGTTTGGTGAATGACGACGATTCAGTGGGGAAAGAACTATTTTTTTTTTCTTTTAGGCATTTTATTGTTTTGGCTTTCAGATTTAGAACTGTAATTCTAGGTAGATTTTTGTGTTTACATTGAAGTCGAGGTCAGGTATGGTCTCTCATCATCCCCTGATGATACTGGGTTTTCTCAGCGCTATTGATTGAAAACACAATTATTTCCTCACTGATGGGCAGTTTCATCTTTCTCATAGAGTCCCTATATATGTGGACCTATTTTTGGACATACGGTTTTGTATTGGTATAATCGTCTATCTTGGTGTAATCCCATCTTTTCTTAACTACTCTAGTTTAGTTTTATTAGGTTGTACAGTTAATCCTCACATTTAATTTCTCTCAATAATATTTTATAGTTTTTTGTGTAGAGGTCTTACATATCTTTTATTGGTTTCATTCTAATATTAGTTTTTTTCCTAGTGTTAGAAAGAAATAGCTCTATCCAATAACATAGCTTTGTTCAGCTTTAACGTGTTACGTGTTGACTGACAATCCATTTATTTACCAATTATTATCCATTTATTTACCATGGGTGGGTAAGTCTTTACTTAGGTCTCAAAAATCATACATAATTCATGAGATTATGTGAAGTATTCTTAGTACAATTATATATTTTTTCTTTAGACCGATATAGCTTTCCCAGTTGATAGAACTATTAGTGATAATGATTAAATGTATGAATAATGACTTGTAAAAGTTTGTATATGCCATAAAATATCTTTGAGTTTTTCTGTGTCATGAAAGAATATCACAAATCTGTGGGTTTTTGCTTGTTGGCTTGTTCAGTCATAGATTCATTCTTTCACATCTATGAAGTGTTTTGTGTATGATGTGCTCTGTTTTGTGGGCATTGGAGGACCACAGTCCTCACTTTCCAGGGCCGTTTAGTCTAATGGGGAGGACATAATTTTTTATAAGGCGATACCTGCTGTGTTACATGTACAGACTAACAGAGGCCACAGAAATGGCAATATTTAACTTTTTTTCAGACATAAAGCTTTTTTTTTTTTGAGACAGGGTCTTGCCCTGCTGCCCAGGCTGAAGTGCAGTGGCGTGAACATGCCTCACTGCAGCCTTGACCTTCCTGGTGCTCAGGCCATCCTCAGCCCTCAGCCTCCCTGGTAGCTGAGACCACGGGCATGCCACCCACAGGCATGCCACCCACAGGCATGCCACCACACTGGCTACTTTTTCAACTTTTTGTAGAGGTGGACTTTTGCCATGTTGCCCTAGCTAGTCTCAAACTCCTGGGCTCAAGTGATCCTCCCATGTTGGCCTTCCGAAGTGCTGGGATTACAGGCGTGAGCCACCATGCCTGGCTGACATGAAGCCTTTTTTTTTAGATGGCGTCTCGCTCTGTCGCCCAGGCTGGAGTGTAGTGGCGTGATCTTGGCTCACTGCAAGCTCCGTCTCCCGGGTTCACGCCATTCTCCTGTCTCAGCCTCCCGAGTAGCTGGGACTACAGGCGCTGCCACCACACCCGGCTAATGTTTTGCCTTTTTTTTTAGTGGAGACGGGGTTTCACCGTGTTAGCCAGGATGGTCTCGATCTCCTGACTTTCATGATCTGCCTGCCTCGGCCTCCCAAAGTGCTGGGATTACAGGCATGAGCCACTGGACATGAAGCATTTTTAAAGTCACTACTACATACCAGTATATGACTCACTCATGGGAAAAAAATCTTAGCATTTCAACTAAAATGTGAATTAAAGTATCAATTTTTTATATACAAATTGTGTTAGTTATTTCAGCAGAATTTTAATTATATTAGTTGTTTTCATAGCTATTTCTTCTTTGGAATGGAATTGTGTTAATTTATAAACCTGCATATAGATAATTAATCTTTTATAATACTCTTTGCAGAATCAAAGAATTCCATCGGACATGGTGTTTCTTAGGACTTCCGAAAAAGCAGGTATTTTTACGTTTAAAAAAACTTACCTAACTGTATATTATTATTGCAAAAACAAATTTACAAATATCTATACAAGCGAAAACTGTTTTCCTTACATTTTTAGTATGCTGCAGCAATGAGGAATATTCTGTAGAATGGTATTTTACTTTGAATATAAACACATGAAACCTCTGAAAAAAGAGTCCACATTTTCATATGAAGCTACTTTACAAAGAAAATACACTTACTCCAGTTACATTGCTGATGATTTAGTATTTTCATAGTTTAATTTTCATTTTTAAAGGTAAAAGTAAAAATTATCCTGTAAAAATTTTCTTTGAGTAATATATTGAATTCATTAACACCTAAATTATATTTAATAGTCAATATTTAAAAGGATGTTTGTTGTGAAATATATTTGTTTAAAAACAATCCTATCAGGACCTGTGTATCCGATGAGTGTTTTCATTCAAAGTCATACTGACATCTGATTAAATGATGATGTTACTTAAAATTTGATGGCTATTTTGCATTTGCAGTTTTATTCAGCAGTTCAGCAAATACTTGTTTACCACTTACTGTTAATACGTACCAGGCACCAACTGTTGCTTAAGATACAAATGGGAGCAACTTTTACAGAGTGGATGGTCTCGGTGGAAGTGCATCCATGGACAGTGATAATCCTGATTGTGTAGGTGCTGGACTCAGAAATGTTTGGGGCTATGTGGGAACAGATAATTTTGCCTATTGAGTTGACGCAGACTTTGCAGGAAAAAACACTATTTGTATGACCTGAGCTTTCAAAAATGTAAAGATGGAAAAGAGGTAATTGGATAGAAGCCTAGTGTGGCCAAATAGAAAAATTGTTGGAAATCGGGAAACCTGAGTTTGAATCACTTTGGCCCGTTTCTAGTTATGTGACCTTGCCAGGTGGGCACACGTTTTCGTCGTCTCTGAAATGAGGGAGGCATATCGAGTAATGTCCAGAGTTTCTTTCTGCCCTACATTCCTGACATTTTTTTATAAATGAACAGTGGTTTTTAAGGAAGCGAGGCGTGTTATTATTTTTATTAGAAATGCAGCATATATCTTATTTCTAGTGTGAAAACTGTAGAAAGGACTGTTAGATTTCAGAGTTGTTGATTTAATTTTTCTCTATAAACAACATACTTTCAGAAGTGACGTTTTTGTCATGAGAAAGAAGAAAAGTGTTTTCTCTTTCTACCAGTTGTTGTTATGATTATTTACATTGTGAGATGAATTCTGCCATTAACAGGAGATCAGCTCTACCCAGTAATCAAGTGACTTCTGTACACTTGATATGTTTAATTTATTATGTGTTGTTTCATGTGAGCTTTTATTTTCCCAACTGTGGCAGGGACTGGCTGGCTCCTTTTCCAACCCATTTCTCTTTCCTGTTGGAAACATGGCTAGACTGCCCTTCCTGCCCAGTTAGCTGGTCCCATGTCACTGAACTCTGGCCAAAGCGGGAGAGCCAAAAGTCTGTATGCCACATCTAGCCTTGCACCTAACCTCTCCTGCGGTCTCCTGCTGTCTCTTGCCCCTTGCTGGTTAGATGGCCATAACTAGGGCAGTCGTGGAAACTGCTTGTTAAAGATGCCAAAGCTTCCATCAGCCTGGTGTCCTGAATGAATGTGTGGAACAGAGCCCCTCCCCTTCCATTACCAAATGAACTGTATATGGAAGAGAAGTAAACTCCTATCGTTAAGCGGTTCCATTTGCAAGGTTAATCTTTTATGCTGGCTGGTGTTTCCTTAACTGATTTCTCATCCTAATTGCTCTTCATTCTGGAAGCCTTCTTACTAATTCTCTTTGCAAGTGGCATTATTTGCTTTTGAAATGTTAATGTTTATATTTTGAAGCCATCATTTGCCAATATTGGAGTAGAATATGCTCTTCTTTCAAGTACTTCTGCTCTTCTTAACAATAGTGTAATAAGACCATTTAGGTGCTTTTACAGTCCATTGGGTAGGCTGCCGTCATAGTTTGTCACATGTGAATAACTCACCTCGTAGTGTATTGCTTCACAGCACAGACGACTGAGTGGGAGAACTCTGCAGGCCCTCCAGTCCCCAGAAAGGCTGATCTCCTCAACCACAGACAGAGGCCAGAATACATAACCCTTGATCATGGGTGTGTGGTCCTTTTCTGTGTTGGTGGATTTGATTTGCAACTGTTTTGTTAAGGCTTTTTTTGCATCTATTTTTAAAGGATGTATTGGACTGGGCACGTTGGCTCACACCTGTACTCCCAGCACTTTGGGAGGCCGAGGTGGGTGGATCACTTGAGGTCAGGAGTTCAAGACTAGCCTGGCCAACGTGGCGCATATATATATATATATATATTTATGCAGAAATTAGCCGTTCGTGGTGGCACAGGCCTGTAATTCTAGCTACTCAGGACGCTGAGGCAGCAGAATCACTGGAACCTGGGAGGCAGAAGTTGCAGTGAGCCGAGTTTGCACTACTGCACTCCAGCCTGGGTGACGAGAGTGCGACTCTGTCTTAAAAAACAAAAAAACAAAACACAAACAAAAAAACATGTATTGACGTACAGTTTTTTGGGGTTTTTTTTGCTGCTTCTTGTGTTATTTTTGTTTTGGTGTCAGGGTAATACTGGCCTCAGTGGAATGAGTTAAGAAGTGATCTTTCTTCTATTTTTTGGAAGAGTTTGTGAAGAATTATTAATTCTTTGTTAAGTGTTTGATAGAATCCACCCATGAAACCCTCTGGGACTGGACTTTACTCTGATTTTTAAAAAATTACTAATTCAGTTTCTTTACTTGCTCTATAGGATTATTCAGATTATCTATAGACCCAGTCAGTTTTGGTAGTTTGTGTCTTTTTCATAATTTGTCCACTTTATCTAGGTTATCTAATTTGTTGCCATGCAGTTGTTTTTAGGATTTCCTTAGGGTCCTTTTTGTTTCTGTCATGTTGATAGTCATGTACCCTCCTTTGATCCTGATTTTAGTAACTCTTTTGAACTCCTCTCTTTTTTTCTTGGTCACTCTAGCTTAAAGGTTTGTCAATCTTGTTGATCTTTTAAAATATCCAGCTTTTGGTTTTAATGATTTTTCATACTTGTTTTTCTGTTCTTTATTTCATTTATTGGTTTCTGTTTTTATTGTTTTCTTCCTTCCGCTTGTTTTCTGTTCAGTTTAGTCTTCTTTTTGTAGTTTAAGGTGGAAAGTTAGATTATTTACTTGAGGGTCTTTTTTAGTACAGGTGTTTATAACTACAAATTTCCATCTAAGTCCTGCTTTTGCTGTATTTCATGAGATTTGGCCATACATCTCAAAATTAATTTCTAATTTCCCTTGTGATTTTTTCCTTGATTCATTGCTTATTTATTTTTAGTTTTTATTTATTTTTTTTTTTGTAGAGACAGGGTCTTGTTTTGTTACCCAGGCTGGAGTGCAGTGACATGATTATAGTTCACTATGATGATCACTGTAACCTTGAACCCCTGGACTCAAGCAGTTCTCCTGCCTCGGCCTCCCAGGTAGCTAGCAATTCAGGCACACAACACCACATCTGGGTAATTTTTAAATTTTGTTGTAGCGACAGGCTGTGTCTGTTGCTATGTTGCCCAGGCTGGTCTCGACTTCCTGGCCTCACGTGATCCTCCCACCTTAGCCTCCCAAAGCACTGGGATTACAGGTGTGGAGTCACCTTATCTGGCCTGATTCGTTGTTTATTAATGAATATGAATTTCTACATATGTATACATTTTCTAAATTTCCTTCTGTTATTGATTTCTAATTTCATTCCATTGTAGTTGGAGAATGTACTTTATATTATTTCTATCCTTTGAAGTTTATTCACATTTGTGAAAAATGTCGTAAGATATTGGGTATCTTTGAGAATATTCTGTATGCACTTGAGGAAAATCTACATTCTGCTCCTGTTGAGTGGAATGTTCCATAGATTTTTGTTCTAGTTGGTCTGCATATTTGTTCAAATCTCCTTTTTTCGTTCATCTTCTGTCTGGTTGTCCTATCCATTATTGAAAGTGGAGTACTGAAGTTTATCACTCTTTCTCTGTTTTTCCTTCTATTCTGTCAGATTTTGATTCATGTATTTGAAGTTCTGCTGTTAGATGTAAATATATTAATGTTTGCTTGGCAGATTGACCCTTTTATCTTTATAAAATGTCTTCAGCCATGCTGAAGCCAAACTCTTTTGGTTACTGTTTGCACCTTTTTTCTGTTGTCATACTTTACCTATTTGTGTCTTTGAACGCAGAGTATGTGTCTGTAGACACCATGTAATTGCATCATGATTTTTCATTCATTCTGTCAATCCGTAATCAGCTTCATTTAGGAAAATTCACATCCAGTAAAATGTATCCATTTAAAATCTTAGCAGGTAAGTACACTTGCTAATTATTATTCTCAAGCTCCGTTTGCCTTGTCGTCCTGCCTGATCAGCCCTACAGCCCTACCTCAGTCCCTCCAGTGTCTCTTCTCTCATACCTGGCTGTAGAGCTCCAGCTGAGAAGGCCACACAAGCATCTGACGGGAGCTCTGTGAATCAGTAGAGTTCACTGTGTACCCCACAGTGTTCCTGTTGACTAGGCCCGTTCTTGAAGGTGGCTTATTCCAACTTTCTCAGTGTTTCTCCTGCCTGCCTTTACCACCTGTTCATTCACTGTCAGCCATCAACCCTCCTCTCAGCTCCACCGCTTTCAACTACATCTCCGTTCTTCCTGTAGGCATTGAAAAATGTCTCTACCCAGTCACCAAAGACCACCCCCAACCCCCAGTGACACGACGCAGCTATCTAGCTACCATCCTGTCTCTGTCCTTCGCTTTGCAGCCAGACCTTTTGAATAAGATGTTTTTCGTCATGACCTCACCCTACATCCCCTTTCTCTGTGAAATTTAAATGGTGTTTCTCAGGATTCTGTCCTAAGCACATCTACGTTTGTGATGTACATGTTCTTCCTGGGAAACTGTAACTTCACTCATGGCTTTGTATCATCTGATTATACACCAG